GGTATAGAAGTCAACAATAAGGTCTGTCAATAATGTGCCCTTTTAGCACTGCTGATCCTACAGTTCCATGTGCACTTTACTCTAGACATGCAATATGTGTCTGGGGAGCTGGGAAGCTCTGAGGTGTAGGAAGTTTTAGCACCTTGAAAACACCCCCACTTGATCTCTCTGGGCCTCGGTTTCCCCATCCAGAAAACAGAGATAACAATCCCTCTGTGCCTCACAGATCTCCAGCTACTAAGGTAACAGGGGCTGCATACGCCTTTAGACAAACTCCTTTCTCGCCTGATTGCCGAAGCCAAAGGGGACGGGGAGGAGAGATTCTGTGGCTGCGACAGCTCCAGGGGGAGCAGAGACTGGCTGGGCCATGCAATTACCTCTTAACAGTTCTGCTAAAGCAGCGATAGTGATGATGGTGATCAACATAAAAACTGTGACTGCAGCGAGGACGACAGCTGGGACTAGGACTTGACGGGAAGCCCATTTCCTGAGCGTGTGGTTAGACCCAGGGCCTGAAAGAGACAAAGCCATGAGTGCTTCTGGGGAGCAGACTCATTAACGGTATCCGTGCCTGAGCCGCTGTCAGCAAGTATCTACTGTGATTCCCAGGGTGCTGCACTTCCCCCTCTGGGTACAGACATTAACTACAGCCCCCAGTCAGAGAGCTAAATACAATGATAAACTCGCCCCGTCCCAAATGACCCCACATTCGCCCAACCAGGATGGCCCAATACTTATTCAATCTCTCCCATTGCTCCTCCCACAGACTCTCACAAAGCTGCTACCCAGACTGGCTCTTAGCTCACAGTTGCCCTGAGGGGTGAGGGATGGGAACATGTCTCACGCTCACCTTTACTCTGCCCCATGCTTGGCCTTTGCCCTCTGCCTGGAGGAATCAGACTTCCCCCTCCACAGCCAGTCACTGAGCCTGCCAACTCCAGCTGCACCCACCCCCACCCCACAGCCTGAGACTGGACACTCAACTCCTTCCCCTCCCCTTAAGGGGAGCTCATGCAAAATCTATCTGGTGTCAATGGTGTATGATTGAAATGTGACCATTGATATCACTGATATTGCCACTGTTAGATAATTGCAACAAACCTTGTACAACATATGTCATATCAGGTGTCAATGGAAAAGCTAGGATTTGCTCAATATAATTATCCTGTGCATGAACATGTATCATCTTTGTATCTAAAGTTATGAATATTAACTTACATACCAATATTTCAAATGGGTTTGCTCCTGGAGAAACACCTACAAGGAGTTTACATCCAGTCTGGTCAACACATTGTGAATAAGCTAGTCAAGTTGATGGCCCTTTAAAGAAAACTTAACTTTTCCATTGTGTCATAGAAGGAGCTTGTCCCCCACCGGTGAGCCTCCCTGTGGACACTTTAGACAGAATTTGGGCAATGGCTGCTCCTGAGAGTCAGCAAGGCCTGTATGAGCATGTGACTTGCTCATGTGACCCTGGACTCCATCTTGTTCCTGTACTTTTCCACAAACTGTGCTGGGGGCTTTATTTTGGGACAGTGACATTCCATCCACATGGGAGAAGAGATAAAAGACCTTGGAAATATCTCCATTTTGTCTTCATTTCCTGCTTCATTTCTCTGGTCTGGATTTTTAACAAGGACGCTCTAAACAGGGACTGATGACCCCAAACCTGTTTGGGTCATTTCCAGGGAGACTTTTGCAAACTTGCAGTTCATTCCATCACTGCTACAAACCTGATCCAAGAACTTTGCACTGAGCGTATGCATTCGATTTCCTTAACCACTTTATCTCTCTCTTTCTTTTCTCTTATAAATAAACCTTTAGATATCAGATACTAAAGGATTGGCAACAGCGTGATTATTGGGTAAGATCTGAGCTATGTATTGACCTGGGTACGTGAAAGAGCTTCTGAGATCAGAAGAACCCTTTGTTTGATGGAACTGGTTTTAAATAACCACGTGTCATTAAGTTTTGTGTTTTCGGTGGTAATATAAGAACTGGAATGACTAAGGAAACTGCTTTTCTGACTTCTTGTTAGCGGTGAGGTGAGACAGAAGTTTACTTTTATTACTGGCTTGGTAGAACTAATGGTAGATTAACCCCCAGTCTGGGGTGTGTCTGCCCTATTTCTCAGCAGTTTGTCCTGAATTTGGTATTCTCAGTTGTGACCCACTGAGGCCTGGTGACACCCCTCCCTTAAGGGAAGCTCATGCAACATCTGCATGGTGGCAATGCTGGCTGAAGGCATCTCCAGCCCAGACTGCAGAACACTGAGTCTGAGAAACAAGGGGGTTGGTTTTTTCTGTTTGCTGCTACAATAAAACCAGGTTCACACAATTCACCAGAAAAGCTACCGGGAAACCCTGGGACGAGCAGTGCTGGGGCAGACCCACTGGATTTTCTCCAGCTCCTTCTCCAGCTTTCTTGGGTTCAGAGGTCCACAAAGTATGGGGCAGGCACCCCAGTGGGCACAGAGGAACATTCAGGGCGGCACAGTGGGGGACCAGGCCACCCAGCCCTGTTCTGCTGCTGGCCCCGCCCCAGCCTCAGCCCCTCACCCGGCCCCGCCCCCAGCTGCGGACACTGCTATGGCTCTGCTCCCGGTCCCAGCTCTGCCCCCTGCCTCGACCCCTGGCTGCAGCTCCACTCCCAACCGTGCTCCCAGCTCTGCCCCCAGCTGTGCGCTGAGAATCTGAAGCAACCCCCAGGCACCCCAAACTATGGACTGATTTCTCTGGACCCTGCTCCAGGATTTAAACATCAGGGCGTCCTATCGCCTCTGAACTCTCAGGAATTCCCAATTCTCCTTTTCTTCAAGAAACGAGTTTCCTTTGAAATCTTTGTTTAACTTACATTCCCAGTTTGTCCTGATGGTAGTGACCAAGAAACACCTGGACAGAGACCTCGGGGCCAAGAATCCAGGCAGCTGTCATGGGAGAGGAGGCCTCTGAGTGCTAGGCATGCTGGGAGGGTCAACTTCCTCCTACACAGCCACCTTTGCAGATCCCCTTCCCCGGAACAGTCAGGGTCACCTTTCGGCAGGCATGCCATCGGCACTGGCAGAGAAAGGTGACTGCACTGGTGTGGCGTGCGCCCACAACATGAGTTACCTGCTGTCCCCAGACACTTGCTTGTTACTCACACAGACGCAGGGCCCTGGGTACATGCGCACAGCTGAGCCTGCCTATTTCTCTCCTGTTTCAAAGCCTGGCCTTTGGATAAAGAGAGAGAAAGAGAAGGGAAGGGGGAAAATGAACGGAGACCTGGGCCAGCATTTCAGACGGGTGAACATCCCGCCCCCACCCCCCACTTCAAAATTGTCTCTGAATCCTGAAGCCAGTTGGGTCCACCCAGGCACACAAAGTACCAGCAGCGGGGGGGGGGGCAAGCTGGGTCCCTGGCCCATAGGAGCCCCTTGGGGTGATCAGCTCCCTGCAGCTCATGCACACGGGAGGTCGGACAAATTGCAGCTGCCACTGAAAACGCAGCCCCATCTGAGTCAGTCGCGTTCTCTCTGCCCATCCAGGCCCCTTGCACGGAGGCTCCAATTACCTCTCTCCGCACCTCCACTGCAGTCAAAGCGCTCCTCCATCTCTCCTCTCTCTTGGAGTCCCTGGGGGGCATGCTGGACTCCGAGCAGCTCTATCTCACTGGCTGCAGCTCTCTGCGATTCAGGATCCATGTATATTCAGTTACGCACCGGTTTAGTTTAAAGGCATGGTGCTCAGCCAGTGAACGTGCGTGTGTTCCCGTTTTAACCAGACTGATTGCGATTTAGCTCCAAGTCCTCTAGGAAGAGGTTTAAGCTAAACTGAAATAAGAGTGTCCACACACACGCTTGCAGCAGTTCAACTGAAGCGGTTCAAGTGTGGGTCCACATGGCCTCAAAGCAAAGCCGGTTCCGATCAGCAGCAGATTCTCAGCTCTGCCTCCATCTTCTTCGGCAGTTTCTCTGGACGAGCGGGAATCCATGCTGTCAAAGATTCATAGACTGTGAGACCAGAAGGCACCATTGTGATCTGTACAACACAGGCCATAGAACGTCCACAAATAATTCCTAGAAAAACATCCAGTCTTGTTTTTAAAATGGTCAGTGGCTGCTGTGATAATCAAATCCCATCCCCTCAGCCCAAAGTGCTATACAGATGAGTCAGACCTACAGCTACATCCACCACTGATATGCAGCGCGGCGAGATGCTCACACTATGAGAGGCACGCGGGAACTGAGACCGACCGAGGGAACAGCAGATTCACGTCTCCCATCTCACGCTCACTCCGGGGAATATGCTCATTGAGTGGAATGGTGGGCAGAATCATTATTTTTTCTTTTTTCCCCTTTTTTTTTTGCCGAGCGCGTATAGTTAAATTCGCGTAAGTTAAATGCACGTATGATGCGACTCCACTGTATATGCAAAGCGGCCCGTTGAAGTATGGACACGTAGTAGTCAACAAGATACACACAATAGACAAACAGGCATGCATGCAAGCTCTGAAGTGTGTGCGCATCTGAACGTATGAATCTCACGCCCACCACGTACACGTTTCAAGCTGTTAGCAGATAACGGTTTAAAGATCTGACACACTAAAATGGGAAGAAAACGAAAATCTGTCTCAGAATACGGTTCAGAACACAAGGAAGTATTCAAAAGTTTTTAAAAAACAAAAACAGGAGAAAAGGATGTAGTTGAGTGTAAACACTGCAAGTGGTGTGGCCCAATGATTAAATGTAAAGATTTATGGGCTAATAGTTCTAAGTCTACAACAGTAACTGTTTGTTCAAATGAAAAAATGTATATGGGGGTAAGAGATAAATTGTTTTCTTAAACTCAGAGGTGGTAATGTTCTGCATTCTGGTTCAGTTCTGCAGCAAACCACATTGAATTCCATTCATCAAAGCATTAATCTACTGAATGCTTTTTCCCCTGTCCCTCCATCCACCAAAATAAACCCCAATATTTATCCTGAAAAATCCACTGAGCTTCAGTCCTATTTTTGTTGTTGTAGTAATAGACACTGATATGTTCCTGGGGGAAAAAATGAAATAAAATAAAAACCGAAAACGAAGGGCCCTATGTACAGTTAAGAATATTATGCCCTGAATGAGGATCACAGGCCTGGTTTCGAAGCCTTTTCTCAGGCAAAAGACCTGATGATCTCAATCCCTGGTGCAGATTCTGCAGCAGGTGTAAGCATTGTGGATATAACTGGCAACACAAAGTCTGAAATCAGGATGTGGTTAGCCTGAGGCCGGAAGAAGAGCCCAATCATCAGAGGGGGCCAGATTCTGATTTTAGTCACACTGATGTAAACCTGGAGTAGTTGCATGGACATCAGTGGTGTTACATTGGCGTAAACCAATAGTGAATGAGATCAGAATCAGGTTGAAAAATCTATAATGGGGCCAGCTCCGACGTATCAGGTCTGCAGGAGAGTGAGATGACATGTGAACGGTTATGCGTTTGTTGTTGCTACTGTTGCAAGTACATGTAGCTGAACGTGGATGTGTTTGTGTGTGAAAGTGACTATCCCTTAATGTACGCACATAGCTCCACAAATGAGCATGCACACACACAGACACAGCTACACAGCTTCAGTTAAGGATATGCAGAGTAGCTGTTTTTCATATTCTCTATAGATTGTAGCACTAGTCAGAGATAAGCAACAAAGCATTAGGGGGAGAAGTTCAGCCAGGAGAGAGAGAGAGAGAGAGTGTGTGTGTGTGTGGTGGCGACAATTCTAAACCTTCTGCACCATTTCCATGCACCCCATGATGGTGCAGGTCTGCTCAGGGAAATTAGGCAGT